GGAGGGTCAGATGGGAAAGGTGAGGCTAGGTGTTGTGGAAATTAAAAACTCGATACGTGCTGAAGATAAATACTAAGAAAGTATTTTTTGAAAGCTTTGAAAATGCCTCAAATAAATATATTTTTCCATCACCAGGTCCAGCAAAAATAAAAACGCTTCAAATATGTTATTTATTCATAAAAATTGCTGTTATTTTCTTGTAACAACATTTATTAGGGAAGGAAACACCTTCAAAAAATAGACTTTTGGTGAAAAATGGTTGGTGACTAAATGATCTAACAACTTCCACTAGTGTTTTCTTCTCAAACGTGAACACTTTATTCAGGGCAAACCTAACAAAGCGATAATAAAAATTTATAAAAGTTAAGTAAATTACCTTCCTGAGATTCACTGTAGTATTTGAGTGTGAATCATGAATCTATATCAAAGTACACTTTGATAAATATACGCTATTCTCACTGGATATTACACCAAATGAGTATTTGATAAGCAACTTTATAACTTGCTTGATATGCTCAGTGATAAACCTAATGTGGTGAACTTTTCTATTAGTATTTTTTAGTATTTACATTTTTTGTCAACAAAATCTGGGTGAAAAACCTAAAAGAATTGTTTTTCATGGTTTACTTGAATACTTGCATTACTTAATTTAGAAAAATTAAGGCCTATGTTAATATCTTATAAACAGCTGGCACTGTAGTTTATTAGCAAATCTATACTGTTAAACAATAAATTGTGCCTTAGTGGAGGACTATTTTTCAGCAGCGTTTAATTCACATTTTTGCGTGCTCGATGCTAATTGTAATTACATACAATATTGCCAGCCTTATTTTATTTTGCACAAATAAATAAATAAACAGCCTCTCATAAACTGTTGCCTCATTACCCCAAAAGATTTATCTATTATTGAAGTGTTTTTGTAAAACCAGCTGACATGACAGAAGGAAATGAAACAGGGGGAATACCTTCTTCAAACTGGTGGCATGAGAACCTGGAAATGGTCGATTGGGTGTGCTGGCTGGTGAGCAGGAGATCACCAATATGCTTTTTAATGGAGTTCCGCCCCCGGAAGAAAAGTGTACCTCACGGGTCTCTGGGAACAAAAACACCTAAATATTAGTCCCGTCTTCAGTGATGCTAGTGACGGTCTTTGTCATGGCTGCTGCCACAGGACGGACATGTGTGTACACAGCCTGCAGCCTCATGAGATGACACATGCAGTTTATTTGTATGTTCACTCAAGTGTGTCCTGCAGACGGCAGACTCTGCCCTCGCACCTCTCCTCTCCCCCTTCTCTTTTCTTCCTTCTGACTTTGACCCTTCTGCATCGGCCAGTGGGATCTGGGGGGTTTGCTATTTGTGTGCTGGTGTGTGTTTGTGTCAGTCGCATGCTGCTGCCTTGTCCGTCTGCTGCTGGCCTTAAGGTGTCCCCTCAACAAATACCACACACACACACACACCACACACACCCACACACACACACACACACACACACACACACACACACACAACACACACATCACACACACACCACACACACACACACACACACACAACAACACTTTCCCCACCCCCCCCATTGGGCCCACATAAATGTGGTGGTGTCGTGGCTGCGCATGCTGTCACATAAGGGCCCTACAGTCCCGGGGGGCCCAGTGATGCTGGCCCTACAACCTCCAGCCGTCCAGTGTGTGTGTGATGTGTGTGTGTTTTCTCTGCTATCCTTATGATGTGATGTTAATTGAATCTATGTATGTTTGGTGCACCCATTTTTTCTGTGCATGCTGAAGGCTTTATTTTCTTGATATACTGTTGTGTGCTGGTGTTTTTTGTGGGGTGTTTTTCGTCAAATTTTGGTCCCAGTATCAGAGACATACGAGCCATGGAAGCCGACAGTGGGAGGGGACAAATATGTCCTCTTGGTTACTTGTGTGTTTCCCTGTGTATTTGTATATGTGTGTTGGTGTGGTGTGTGTTGTCCTGCGAGCTTGTGTTGCACCGTCCCTGGGCCTCCTGTGATGTGCAGGGCAGAGGGAAAGCCACCGCTGGGCCTGCGCACGCTGTTGAACACACATCAGAGTAAAGAAACAACAGTAATCATGTTCGCACGGTCCCTGGGTCACAGTGGGAAAATTAAGAACACTGAATGCTGGGATTCAATGATGCTTATTAATTCATTTTTATTTCAATACAAAAGATTAGAGGGCCATCAACAGAACAATTTGCTTTGACAATATCAATTACCATTTTTAAGCACACGCTTAGAATCAGATTATTTTCACTGCTTTTACCTTTTCCAATGAGATGGCCTTTAACAGGGAGCCTTTTTATAAATTTGGCCCTTTTCAGCCTCAACTGTTGCTCGCCAACCTCATTCTACTGGAGTTAAATACACTGATTATAGTTCCTGCAACTCAACTGGTTTAAACACATCTGACCCATCGCTGTAATGTACATGTACGGTGCATGAATTTTGGAGGGAGGGTTATGATATTAGTTATATTTACACATTAAAAAAAACTCCATTCTTGAAAAGCAGCATGTTATAGTAGGATGTTAACTTCAGTTACATTGCTTTACAACCAGTTCATTATTGCCTTTCTTGTATTTCTTTCTTATTAGAGACCCTTTTTCAAGTTTGGGCCAAATTTCAATTTTTCTTTCAACCATTTGTGTGCTTCTTGCTGCTTGAAGATGCCAATTATCACTTGCTGGAGAGGAAGCTGTGGTGCGCCTTTAGGTGAACCTGGGTTTACACTGAGTATCACCTCTCAAGGAGGCCTGGATGGTCGGTAGGAGGAATATAACTTGAACCATCACTTTTAAGGTAATGCCGGCCCAATATATAGGTTTCTTTTTTATTGTAAATGAAAATACTTATTGTTCAGTTATTAAGTATAAGGTCTTATCAAAGTGTAACTAACAACATTATGTAAGCTGGGTTATTAAATGAATAAAGCAAGCAATTCACATGGAATTTTCTTTACTTCTTTGTTATATTGCCATTCAGATGTTTTTGTTTGGAGCGGGACTTCACTTTGTCCCCCACACTTTACAAACAACAACAAACCTACACTCTCGCTAACAACCGATTATTATTTATTTATATATTTACTTTATAAAAAACCTCTTTGTATAGTATAGTTTGTGTTGCCTGTTAGATCATTCCAGATGAGTTAAGAGGGCGTTTTTCTGGCCCAACCCACCCTCCAACCATGTCTCCATCAACCTTATCTCTCTGTTCCCTGCGCTTTGTCTCTCTGAGGGCTGTCTCCTCTCTCCTGTGTCCTACTGCCCACCAACAGCCGACTACAACCCTTACTGGTTGGTACTTTCTTTTTCCTCCTTCCTCTCTCTGCTGGCAGTTGGTGGATGCATTGGAGATTGGTGGAGGTGGAGGAGGGCGAACATTAGAAACATCAACCCCTTCTGGTGATAAAGGCTGCAGCTGGTTACCATAGCAACGCCTTTTACAGTACTGCGCCGCGGTGACAGGGGAGCGGAGGGTGGAGAGAGGAACACAGAAAGAGAGAGAGAGGAGGTAAATGCGGTTCAAAAATGTGTCTTCTAATTGTGTGGAATGTAAGGGATGTGAATGAGTTTGTGTGCGTGGGTGTGTTCGTGTGTGTGTCTTCAGCGTGTGTACGACATAAGCTTTAGTTCATTGACTCTTCATTAGATGCTCTACATCTGGTAAAGGCCGGTTGCTGGGAACACTGCTTCAGAATAATGATGGGACACCACACACACCACCACACACACACACCACACACAGCCACCACACCACACACACACCACACACACACACACACACACACACACAGTCCTCCATCTGCTGCCCATACCTATGCTCACTAACACCCAACCCCCCACGATCCAAACCCCTTACACTTACACACTACACCTGTTTACCTGACACACACACACCACACACACACAACACACACACACACACCACCACACACACACAACACACACACACAACACCACACACACACCACACACCACACCTGTTACTGATATTTAACCACAGTTCCACACACATAACAGGTTGTGACGTGGGAAAATGAAAAATCTAGAGGGCAGCTGAACTCCGGTTGTCTGCACACACTCTAATATCAGCTCTGCGTCTACATATGAATGAGATACACGTAATTTAGCGCACTTTTCACATTGATCTTTTGCGAGTCCTGTCTGAAATGTCTTTGGAGTTTTTATCAAATCTAATAACTTCTTTCTGTCTCCACTTTGTGTGTGTATCTTTTTTAACTTAAGTGGCCTCACATCTAAGGCCCCGTCCACACGGAGACGATATCAGTTGAATCCGCTAACGTTCTCTATCGTATAGACGGTTCGTCCAAACGAGGCCGAAACGGAAACGCGGATTCGGAGCCCGAATCCGATACACTTTGATAACGGCTCCCAAAGTGGGTAGGTCTGAGGACAAAACGCTTGCGGCTCCGTGTGTACGCCCTATATGATCATTTCCTGAAACTGATGACGCCATAGCCCCGCCTCTCCCGACCTCTCCTGCTCACCCCTGCATCATTGCTGATGCTTTTCGCCAACAACAACAACAATGGCGGATCACAGGGTTGCGTTCGTGCTCCAGAGGCTACTGACCATGATACAGATTTTAGTGCAAAATCTACAGCTCCTCTACCACAACGATCAGCAACAATAATAATATAATAATAATAATAATAATCGTCATCGGTCTTATTCGCTGATTTTGGTGTATTTTGTGGCGGAAGTACAGTGCCACTTAGAGGTCCGGCATATGTACTACAGCGTCTCCAGCGTTTTCGACCGTTTTCGTGTGGACGGAGACGTTTCTTGAGCCGTTTCCGTGTGGACGGAAGACTTTTTTGAAACGACTAAGGTTCCTTTTTGTTTTCGTGTGGACTAAGTATTGCCTCTCTTCCTCCCACCGAAGGAGTCATCAGTGTAGTCAGCATGGAAGGTCCTGCCAGGCTGCCAGCTAGTTAATGAGGGAGTGTTGAATACTTGTTTATTGTACTGAATGAACACACACACACATGGACACAATCAGCAGATTAACTTAAAAGTAAGGAAAAACTAAAAGCCTTTTTTTTATAAATATTTTATTGAGTTATTATTCTTTTTTTAATTACCCCCTCTACAACAATATGTCCCCTTCTTTGTCTCTTAAATACCAAATAGATTAACAATTATATGTCCACATACTGAATCTGCAGTAACACCTGCACACCACATACGAGTGAGTTACGACTCGAGTGAGTGGATGAACTAGCTAAAAGTAATAGCTACACCGTTGAAATAGATAGCTAAACGTAATGAATAGGGTTAAAATTGTCAGTTAAAAGTAATTTATACATGATTGAAATAGTTAGCTAAAAATAATGAATACATGGTTGACAGACTTATCTTAAAGTTATTTATATGTGGTTAAAATAGTCAGCTAAAAGTAATGGATACATGTTTAACATAGTTAGCTAACAGACATGTACAGTTAGAAAAAGTAAATAGTAGGTTATATGGTTGAAATAGATATGAACATAATCAATATGGTAGAAATAGTTAGCTAAAAGTGATGGACACATGGTTGAAATAGTTAGCTAACAGCAGTGTATGGGTAAAATAGTAAGCTAAAAGTAATGCAGTGTGCTACGGGGCGCCAGGCAGGTACCAAAGAAAAATATTTAAAAAAAAATGATTTGTGAACCTCTGTGAACAACCGGGACAGAGAGAGAGAGAGCTAGAGAGAGCTAGAGAGAGCACACCTTTATCTATTTAATATAGTTGTAAAAAATAAAGTAAGAAATCATTCCAATTTGTACTATACAGTAGGACAGTACAAAAGTTTAAAAGGGGAGTGATTCGTAAAATATGCATAAATAAAAAGAAAGAATGCTAACTAGGTAACATAGGATACAAATAAACAAGTTTAAATAATTTGTTAATGGTTGTGATCATATTCTAAAGATGTTTGGATTATTGAAAAGTATACAGCTCCCTTTCATCTGAGTGTTGAGAGCTGTATCCATAAATTCAGTTTGTGTTCAAAGTGCACCAGATTGATGCATTTAACTTCAACATTAAAAAAAAAATCTTCCCGGGGGTGCATGCCCCCGGACCCCCCTAGAGGAGGTGAGGTCCACCCCCAAATAAAGCAGGTTAAAATAATTAAATTGCATACATTTTATTTTGATTGTTTGTTATGTGGATGTCTAGTATTTGTGTTATGTTCAATAAAGGTGATTTAGCAAAATACACCTGTAGAGCCTCTCTTGTGCTGNCTTGAAAAAAAAAAAAAAGAGGTTTCCCCCCCAGGACTGTCCTTTTTAAACTCTTGATGACGGTATTCGATACGAAGTCGGAGCCGGCGAAGATGATAAATACAAATAACAACACACATAGTTAGTTAAAGTTGACAAAGTAGGTTACGAACATAAGATATGATCGGGTATAGTTCTTACAATGTAAACAGAGTCATCCTGAAGTGTCACACTTGTCTTATAGTCATACTGGTTATGCCTGGAACATACTTAGGACTATGAAGAAACAAAACATCCACGTTCTAAATCATCTGTATTATTTTTATTTACGACAACCTATCTTCGCTGAGAGATGAGTTTGACTTCTCTCTCCTGGAGACGAGACACACTAGGGATATACTGTTTCTAAAACTCATCTTTGAGTTTTCGTTGTCACCAGTCCCAGTGTAAGGGATAGCTGAAGAAAGAGAGACAACATAAGCGAGGCTATCTCTGCAAACGTTTAGTTCCAATCTAGTTTGTTCCTTCGCCCCACTGACTGTGTACAAGGTTACTTAACACTCGTACGTCACGGAGTAATAAAGAAGTACAGAGCGGGGCAGCGAGTGCAGGCGTCTCTGTTGGTACTCCGACACCCCGGAAGACGACGAGCGAGGACTAGCGAGACTGAAATCGGCCGTCTACCATTCAGTGTTGAAGATTTAGTGGAAAATTTCAGTCTCTTCACAGAAACATAAGGGGGTAATAAACCCTCTACTTTACAATGACCAACAAAAAGTGAAGAAACCATTTAATTAGTGCAAAGTCATTCCTGGGCTATTACCACGGAAAAGACACTACAAGGACGAATGACCTCCTCAACTCTGAGTCCGAGTCCCACTCACACAAATAGTCAGGCTCAGTGGCGGTGCCAGATATTTATTTTGGGGTTCTGTGGGGTAGCTTGACGTTTCATAGAGGGTGGGACATTTAGGGTTTCCCATTAATGTACCGGTCGCTACAGTGGAATTTTCTACTGCAACAATCCCCACGCATATACACAGTGTGACGGTTACAATGAAGGCTCGAGGCATATAGGTGTAAGCAGGGGTAAAGTGCTAGGTGTAGGGGTAGGTGGTGTGTGGACCTCACATAGGGGGGTCCGGGGGAATACTCCCCCGGGAAGATTTATTTTTAAATATTGAAGTTAAAAGCATCAGTCTGGTGCAGTTTGAGAGCAAAATGAAGAGATCTATGGAATGGATACATCTCTCAACACCCATATGAAACAGAACTGTAAACAGATTTACTTTTTCTTTATGGATATTTTACAAATCACCCTTTTAAACTTTATTCTTTGTTTACTGTCATATATACCTGTTTTTCAACTATAATGATCATTTAAACGTGTGCCTCGGAAAAAATAATTGTTTACATTAATGGTGACCAAAACGTTTGAGACACTGAGATAACTTAGACTAAAGTTAACTATCTAAACACTCAGAGTCCATTAGTTCACTGAGCCTCTCAGTCTGACAGGAGAGGACTCTCCTCCACTTTGTTGTTGAATGTTGTTCTTTATATCCGTTAGCGTAGCTCGCTAGCACCAGAAGCTAACAACTATCTCCGGTAGGCTACCGGTGCGCTCTCTCGCTCTCGCTCTCGCTCTCCTCTCTCTCTCTCTCTCGCTCGCGCACGCACAAAAAATGGCTCGTTCCACACACACACAGAGCCGTGCTTTAATGAAACACAGAGACCCACGTAATAGTACTGTATGATATTATTTTCGAAGCAATAATTTTTCAAATTATGATTTATTTTTATTTTTTTATAACCATTTTTCCTCCTGTTCTCTTGCGCCCCCCACTTTGGGAACCACTGGCTTATGGGAACAACATGAATGTGTGTTGTTTCATTACTTGCTTTCAGGAAAAGACTAAAGCTGAATGTAGAATGTAACTTGTATGCGGCCTCAGTGAAGACAGAGAGGGAAGCAAAGTACCTGCTGTGTCACCTAATAAAACTGTGTTGCGGTTACGAGCTAGTAAAAGCATTTTTACAGCAGTATGAAAGCGTGACAACAGACATCCTTGTCCTGTGTATGATTGAACTATAATTTGTATTGTGAAAGTAGCAGTTATATTTGCCTTAATGACATTTTACAATCACAGCAATCAGGGCCGCAGCCAGGGTTGCTATTTAAAACGTTCTACCTAGAAAAAACAAGGGCCGACATCAGAAACAAAGTCTCTGAATTGTTTTTATTCACTACGTTTTACTCCATATTCTGCTGGATTTATTTCTCAATGTTAAGGTCTAAATGGTACACTGCAATGAAGGGACATTTTTATTATAGAATCTATTAAAGATTAGTTTGTCAGCTGACTTCCCTCCACATGTTGCCTCCATGATTTCAATCATGAATCACAGTCCTCTGTCTGGTTTCAGAACAGTCAATTTTGTCTCAAGCAACCATGTGATTTTCTCCATGCTTTCATTTTATTTTGTCATATTTTTCCTAATAATTATTGTGATTACTTTTAAACAAGTTATTTTTAAAATTCCAAGTGGGCTAAACATGCATCCTTTTTTATTCATAACTCATGCGGCATTACAACTAATTAATTAATATCTGGATCCACTTAAAATTTCACAATTTCCAATCTAACAAGAAAATAATGGAACATTTACGTTTCACATGGCCAAAAGATATGGGTAAAGCTTGCATGGATTTCTTGATTGAGAGAATTATATTTATTACTTTTGTGGTACTGCACCTGTGTCATATTATCTCTTTATTTTTCCAATACATATATTTAACTGTGCCAGTGCTCGGTACAGCATTAATTTAGCCTTCAAGACATTTAGTATGAGCAAATTGTCTTCTCGGAAATGTTGCAAAATACATTTTAGGAGTTTTTGAGCTGTGAATCAGAGGTTATTCTCCTGTTCCTCCAGCAGGGGGCCTGCAGTGTTTACATCCCTGAGCATAGAGAGCTCTGACCGATTGTGATGCAGGGACCAAAGAGGAGGGGGTACTTGTTTTCCTGTTCATCCCGGGAAGTATCCGGAGCCGGTGGGCGGTGCAGACCCCTGAAGATACAGATAGCCTGTGGATGCTGACCAGAGGATGCAATAGATGCAGACACTACAGAGTGTGAATATATTTTGTATTTCTGCAGGGAGACGAGCCGCTACAGTGCGTTAGAAAAGGTGGGAGAAAATCTGAACAGATCTTCTTTGTCTGCAAACACAGACGACAATAGTTTGTTTTGTTTTCCAGGAAACAAGGAGGATTGGCTCTCCACTTTTTTTGTGAGGTGCAGAGGAGTTGCCTCTTTAAGACCCTTCGATTCTGTCAACGCTTTAAGTCGTTTTCTGGTCGGTGTGGAAAAAAGAGACAAAGAAGCACCTGACTATGAGAAAGCTTACTGTGACGGGCCCGAGATCTGCTGATCAGTGTTTACAGATTACTGCCAGGGATGACATCGACCAGAGAGAAGTGATGCAAATTGGTGAAAGCTGTCACTTTTGATTTACATCTGATATCAGGCCTTGGTTGGCGCATCTCTCCGAGGCATCAGATCTCTCACAGGCCTTTGTAAAAACATTTCATACACGGAAGCGGACGTGGTTCTGCTGGTAGATGCTCTTGTCTCTGACGCTCTTCCTGTGGAGGCTCTATCGACATTTCTCCATCATGTTCAGCTCAGAAAGACTCACAGTCCCGGAATATGTCAGCCGGCTGCAGAGAGGGAGGAGCGGCTCCGGATCCGAGCCAAAAGCAGTGTCTCCGGGCGTCAGAGCCGATGTCCAGCTGGTTCTGGATGGCGCCCTCCCCGCCCTGCGCTGCGCCATCCAGAGGCTCAAGTCCTCGCACGAGACCTCGGATTCAGATGAGACACGGAGGGCCATCGCCGAGCTCTTCCAGCTGGTGGAGGAGGCCTGGGTTTTGCCCACTGTAGGGCGTCAGGTGGCCGAGGACATCTGCAACAGGATCCGGCTGGATGGAGGCCTGGAGCTGCTGCTGCAGCTTCAGCAGAATCCTGCTCTGGAGATCACCTATGAGTCTGCAAAACTGCTGGAGCAGATACTGACCTCAGAGAACAGGTAAGCTACTTTTAAACCTTCACAGTATTATACAGCAGCTCTGCAATATGCAAATCTGTAATTACATTTTTGACGGGTTCAGTGTATGATGAGGTTATGTGTTGTGTGTGTTTTAGTACTTAATTGGACCATATGCAATCCGTTTGTGTAGCTACACTAGGGATTGATAAAATAACACAAACAATGTACAATCCTGCAATGCAATACAATAGTAGGCAATATGTTTATGCCAACTGATTCAGCAAGGACATACTGTAACTATATATATAACCAACGTTTATCAAAAATAGCAAGGCTGTTTTTATTGGCTTGTACATTTTAAAGGCAGTGTTAGTATTCTGTCTACTATTTGTATATCTATGTTGATTCTAGGGCAACAAAAAAGTCATAGAGGTCACAGTTAGCATGACATCAAAACAATAATAGTAGCCCATCCTCACAGTTGAAAAGCAAACCCCTGTTTGTTCAGGAGAATCTTAAATGTTTACATTAACAGCAGAAAGTCTTGATGTCTGATTGACTTACTCAACATTTGATATCAATATTATAAACTTCTGTTGACAGGGATTATGTAGCCCGTATGGGTCTGGGGGTCGTCCTCAACCTCACTCGACATCAGGAAGATGCACAGCTGGCTCGCAGTGTCTCGGGGATCCTGGAGCACATGTTCAAACACACTGAGGAGACGTCTGTCCACCTTATCTCTAACGGGGCCCTGGATGCCCTCCTCTTCTGGTGCCGCGGCACAGACCCCACAGTGCTGCGCCACTGTGCCGTGGCACTAGCAAACTGTGCCATGTACGGAGGCCACCGCTGCCAGAGATGGATGATTGAGAAGCAGGCAGCTGAGTGGCTTTTCCCTCTGGCTTTTTCCAAAGAGGATGAAATCATTCGCTTCCACGCATGTCTGGCTGTGACTGTGTTAGCTGCAAACCGAGAAATTGAGAAAGAGGTGGTGAAATCTGGAACCCTGGAGCTGGTGGAGCCATTTATTGCATCTTTAGATCCGGACGACTTTGCCCGCAGTTTGTTGGACAGTTCAGACAACATGCAGGGCAGGACAGCAGCTGACCTGCAGCATTTTCTGCCATTACTGGATGGCACAAGACTGGAAGGAAAGTGCATTGCAGCCTTTTACCTTTGTGTGGAGGCCAGCATCAAGTCTCGTCAGGGCAATACTAAGGTACCATCACTATCCACATGTAGCTCAAAATGTTATGTATAATTGTCTGGTAGCTTTGATGTGACTTAGTTTTACCTTGTCAATCAATCAATCAAAGTTTATTTATATAGCCCAATACTAATATATTTGTCTCAGTGCATTTTACAGTTTGTACAGAATATGAATACGACACCCTCTGTCCTTGGACCCTTGTGTTTATTTTAAGATATTTCAAGAGATTGGAGCAGTGCAGAGCCTAAAAAAAATGGTGATGTACTCCAGTAACGGTACAGCCTGTGGCCTAGCCAAGCGGGCACTGAGCGTGATGGGAGAGGAAGTGCCAAGACGCATCCTGTCATGTGTGCCCAACTGGAAAACCTGTGAAGTGCGGACCTGGCTGCAGCAGGTCGGCTTCAGTGCCTACTGTGACCGATTCCAGGTATGTTTTATTACTCAACAGAGAGATAATATAGGCATTAAGATCTACATATTATACACCATGTCAGACATTTCTAACATGTTTGCTGTACAGGAGCTCCAAGTAGATGGAGACCTCCTGCTGAACATCACAGACCAGGAGCTGTGCCATGATCTGGGCATGACTGCAGGCCTCAGTCGCAAAAGGCAAGTGCCACAAACCCTTCAACATCAGTCATGTAACAGTGGTCTGACAGCTGCTCTGTCTCATCCTGCAGGTTTCTGAGAGACCTGTGTGTGTTGAAGACGTATGCCAATTACTCCACATGTGACCCAAACAACATGGCTGACTGGTTAGTGGAGGTTGACCCTCGTTTCCGGCAGTACACCTACGGACTGGTCCAGTCAGGAGTGGATCGCAATAACTTCAAGAGCCTGACGGATCAGCAGCTCCAGAACGACTGCCACATAGACAACGGCGTCCACAGAGCCAAGATTCTCTCAGCTAACAACAAGCCCTTAAAACCGTGCCAAACTGATGCTCAGCCTGCAGGGCCCGACGTCTTCATCAGCTACCGTCGGACTACTGGCTCCCAGCTGGCAAGGTCAGAATTCTAACTCAAAACATTATGAATGAAAAATTACTTAAAAGATGGATGGGGATGTTTTTTTTTAAGTTCATCTTATTGATTAGTTGTGTAATTGTTACAGCTCTAGTTAGATTAGACTTAGAGTAACGAGAGAAGGTACGTGCAACAAAATGTACTTTCTCATTTTTGTCCCAAGCCTTCTGAAGGTGCACCTGCAGGTCCGAGGATACAGCGTCTTTATAGATGTGGAGAAGCTGGAGGCCGGAAAATTTGAGGACAAACTGATCCAGAGCGTACAGCGGGCGCGTAACTTCATTCTGGTCCTGTCCTCCAATGCACTCGACAAGTGCATGGGTGACACTGACATGAAGGATTGGGTGCACAAGGTTGGAAGTTTTCAATTTTTCTGTATTGTATAACATTTTGCTTAAAGTGGACCTATCATGCTATATTTGAATAATATAGTGTAGGACCATACCTATATAAGGCATATTTATACTTTTTATTTTTCAAAATACCAAACAGATCATGCATTTTAGCCATTCCTCATTTCGCTCAATTTAACACATGCATGGGCTGATTCTTTTTTGAAAGCGCGCAAGGTTTTTTTTTCCCAACGGGAAAAAGAAGGGGTTTTTTTTTTTTTGGGAAAAAAAAAGTTTTTTTATTGGTTTCCCCAAACTTTTGGGTTGTTTTTGGAATAACTCGGTTTTTCTTTTTTTTTTTTTTGGGTTTTCTTGTTCGTTTTTCCCCCTTCTTTGTTCAAACTTTTTTTAAAATTTCCTTCGGAAACCGGTACGGCCACCCCCTTTTTAATTTTGGGGGGTCTTTTTTCCAAATTTTTTTTGGGTTTTTTTTTTTTTGAAAAAAAAAAAACCCCCCCCTGGACAAGGAAGGCCGAAAGGAGTTTTATATTTTTCACTTGTTGAAAGGGAAACTTTCTTTTCCTTAGGGGGTTTTTTTGGGGTTGGTTTGTTTTGCTTTGTTTTTCTGTCTTTATTTTTTTTGTCCCTTAAATTTTCAAAAGGGGTTTTCCCACCTTTCGGTTTGGTTCCCCCGGGGTTTCCCCCCCGGTCTGGGTTCCGTACCCGTTTTTGGGGTGGTTTCCCAGCGTTTTTCCCCCCCTTTTTTTTTTGGGAATTAAACCCGGTTTTTTTTTTGTTCTGTTTTTCTTTTTTTTTTTCCTCTTCCTCTTTTTTTTTTCTTGGGTTATTTTTTCCCTTTTCGACCGGTTCTGTTTTTTTAGTTACAAATTTATTTTTTCAACAAGCTTTTTTTCCCCTTTTCCCCTTTAATTTTTATCTTTCCCAATCCACCTTTTTCAAAAAAATTTAATTTTTTGGGGTTTCCCGAAAATTTGGAACCAAAAAAACCTTTTTTTTTTTTTTTAAACTTTAGTTTTTGGTACCTTTTTATGAACAAAAAGAAAAAGGGTTTTTTTTTTTTCGGGTTAAATTAAAACACCGGGTTCTTTTTTTTCTATTACAAAAACCCCCGGTTTTTTTGTTTTTTTTTTTTTTTGAAATGGGTCATTTTTTTTTTTTCCTATTTTTAAAACAAAAAAAAGGATAAAAAAAAAAAAAACGATTTAACACGGTTAAAAGAGGATAAATTAAATATTTCAACGTTGTCTAACAATAAAATAATCTATATATCTTTGAAACCTTTAGTACCAAACTATTTCAACATTTTAGTTACCCAAATTTTTTTTTTCCAATCATTACATTTGCAAAACGCCTTCTTTTTTTTTTTTTTTTGGCGCGAGCTCTCTAAGCGGTTTCTTAAAAAACCTTTTTTTTTTTAATGCGATGCTGGCCTCTTTTTTTTTTTTTAGACGGTGAAAAGGACAATTAATCTTCTTTTTTTTCCGGGGAAGGAAGGTTTTTGGTTTTTGTTTGTTAATACTTTGGGTTAAAAAACCTCCCGTGCTCTCTATTTCAAAACAACGTGTCCTTACCTTTTTTTCCGACCTTTTTTTGTTCGTTTCCCAAATTCCCGGTTAAAGGTCAATATTTTAAAAATTCGCGCCCGGACTGTTTTTTTTTTAACTCAACCAGCAACGAAAAAAAATTTTTGTCATGATGCCGAAAAGGAAGTCTCTGGCAAAAAAATACCTAAAAAACAAGTTTTTTCGTTGACTTTTTTTCTACTAAAGTTTTAACGAATTTTTTTTCTTTTTCCGTAAGGTAACTTATTTATTGTTTTTTTTTTTTTTTTTTCAAATAAAAAGGAGAAGCTTTTTCGGCCAAAGAGTTTAAATTTGTTAAATGGGATGGGAAATTTTTTTTTTTAAAAGACAAAAAAAAGACACAAATGTTAAAAACAGTGTTAGTTTTTAACTTAAAAAAAATTCACTTCACTAAAGTTTTTTTTTTAAAATTTTTTCCTTTTAAAAGTCACACAAGTTAAACAAAAAAATGTTTTTTCTTTTTTTGGTTGGGGGAAGGTAGTTCCAAAAATTTTTTTTAAATTCTATTTTCCCTGGTTTTTTTAAGATTAAAAGTAAGTTTTTTTTTTTTTGGTAATAAACAAAAAACCAAAAAAAAAACACAAGTTAAAAAATTAAAACTAAGACCAAGAAAAATAATGTTGAAACTTTCCCTTTTTTTGTTTTTTTTTCCTATTTTGTAATGGGTTTTTTTACCGTAATTTCGTTTCTGTTTTTGGTTAATTTTGAAGAGGGTCTGAATTTTTTTTTTTGGTTGACGACTAGTTTTAATTTGAAGTTTCAGTTTTTTCGCGTCCGGTGATGTACTTAATTTACAACATTAGTCGGTGAGATGTTTTCGGTGCGTAAAAACATTGTGTACTACTAGAAAAGGTAAGTTCGTTCATTATGCCACGGTATAAACTGAAAACGCCTCGAGTACGACGAATCACTCCCACTGATGTCTCAATCGCTTTTCTAGGACATTTATGACGCCGCCAAAAAGAACAACGGCATGTGGCGCGGAACTTTGGACATAAACAAGAATCTATCCTTCGGTCAATATGTTTGTACATCGAAATATGTTGAATGAAGTACGGAGACAATATTAACTCCGAGGGTATCTTTGAGAGTAGTTAACTGGTGTAGACGGATACTTATCGAAAGAATTGATACTTGTTGAGTTTGTATTTTCGGTGTTTACAGGCATTTTCAGTCATCTCGACGGAACGCAGTATACTTACGAGGTTACTACTCAATTTGTTTTCACAACGGTACTAAACGACAGTATCATTGACGAAGTTTCTAACGATCACTACTAAAACGACCTGCACGGTTGTCGTCGGACTAGATAGTGATCACATAAAAGGACTTCGTCTGTCTTCCGTATTATGACCTGGACTAGTGTTGTCATATGTCGTCTTGCTCCCCATATTAGTATTTCCGAATGTCAAAATACATATATGTTAGACTTTAGGGGAAACTAACAATTAAATACATAAACGTATATGACGGCGAAGTTTAAATATAGTCCGGCAAAACACACTCGTATTTGTATTCGTGTAAGTGAAAGTGTACGTAAACCTGTCCGCTTTCGAACGGCGGAAAAGTGGCATCCGCTTATACTTTACCGCGTATTAAATTTGTAATATCGACTTTAGTTTGACAGTTTAAGTCATCATAAAGAAAAGACGGGAAGCCCGACGGACCGTGCGAAGTCAGCTAACAAACGACAGAAAGTCTTTAGCATCCTTAGAAGAGCTAGCACCGGAGCGACTATCAAGCACCCTGGTAGACACAGTTTCTGTTTGCCATTGTTCGTTAATTTTTGGAAATTCACATCATTCTTAATTCGGGACGTAATATTTGGTCCCTTCAAGAGATTCCTACAAAATGTACTTAGTGTTGTTGTTATTTTCGGGTTAATTGTGGTCTAACGATTAGTTGTTTTCATAACCGATGTCATTTCAAAACAAATAAATTCAAATCTCGGTCGGGTAATGAGTTGACTGGCAACTTTACTCTTCAACTGGAGACAGGAGCCCGTCCTCTGTACCCAGTCCGGGTGTACTTTATAGACACTTCGTCCTCTGATACAGAAGAGGGTGGTTCCGCCACTGATAGAGGAGTTCTAATTACTCGTAAGGACAACGACTCAGATATTTTTGATATTTTGTGTTTAACAGATGTCTACATTTGTCCCTCCCCTTCCGCTATGTTTGTTTAAGGGTTCGGGTCGATTTTCAAAGTATACTTCAGGTCTTATGCTAATTCCCGATACCGCACCCTTTCGAATTTCGCGACCGGATAGTACGTTTTACGTGAAAACATGCAAAAAATATGTACTTATACAAAGGGGGGGCCACAAGGTTCCTTGAGTGTTACGAGTCGTTTGTGTTGGGAGAGATAAAAGGAGGTATGCGTTTAGAGAATTTTTCGCCGGACGTTGCGTGACCTATTGGAATCTGACTAGGTCTAAACTTGTGAAGATACTGAGTGTCTTCACCGCGATGCCGATAACGCCCGGTTGAGGTCGTTTAGTCCCTCCTCTGTCGGTACTGTAACGGCGAACCTTTCGCGACCTCTGCGACATCATGTATACGGGCCGGACATCTACCACG